GGGTGTTACATAAGCTCTCCAGCTGCTCTGCATGCATTGCCTGGCCTACTGTGCAGAGAGACGGATGGAATGTAGGCCAAACACCCCCCCTCCTCTTTCTTTCTTTCTCTCTGTCTGTATCCTTCTTTTTTTTCCGACTCTCACAAACACCACAGCACTGGGGATTTTTGCAAAAACAGAAAGAAATGTGTGCTGTTGCTTGTCAGCCTGTTACGCCGTATAAAATCAACAAACTAACAACAAATAAAAACAGATTTGTTATCTGACAATCCTGCCTGTCTCAACAGTAGGTTGAGAAAAAGGCGAGAGGTGTCAGAGAAAGTGTAAAAATGATAACCATCAGTGGTTCGGTGGACAGCTATGAGGATTTGAGCAGGTATGTAATTGGGAGTAGTGAATATCTGACTGATGGCGGATTAATCCGTCTTATACAGACACATGTGGGCTAACGTGTGTGATGCAACTAATGTGATTGAATTTATTAAAAAAAAAAAAAGCCTGACACAGCAGCTCTGCTGTTTATGCAGTTAGTTTTGTGACTAAAAAAAAAAAAAAAAAAAGCCTGACACAGCAGCTCTGCTGTTTATGCAGTTAGTTTTGTGACTGTAGATGGTGCAGTTTCTTACAACACTTAAAAATAAAACAACATACAATATTTGCATGTTTTTTTCAAAAATATATAGTTTGTGTTTGTTCAGTGTGGCTTAATTTTGATAAAGCACTTCAATATCACTGACTTAAGCATCAAAAAACTATCTATTTCTATTTAGTGATAAAGAAAAATGATTTAAGAAAGAATTCCTCTTAAAGGAAGCTGCCAGGTGGATCGGTGGTTAGCATCGTAGCCTCGCAGCAAGAAGGTTGCTGGTTCACGTCCCGGTGAGGACACCCGGGATCTTTCTGCGTGGAGTTTGCATGTTCTCCCCGTTCTCTCCGGGTTCTCCGGCTTCCTCCCACAAGTCCAAAAACATGTTGAGGTTAATTGGTGATTCTAAATTGTCCGTAGGTGTGAATGTGAGTGTGCTTGGTTGTCTGTCTCTAAGTGTAGCCCTGTGATAGACTGGTGACCTGTCCAGAGTGTCCCCTGCCTTCACCCTGAGTCAGCTGGGATAGACTCCAGCCCCCCTAGTGAGGATTAAGCGGTGTATAGATAACATATATATATAATATAGGATGGATGGATTCTTCTTAAAGGAAGCTGTGGGTGTATTGATGGACACCTCGATTACAGCCGGGGTGTCCATGTGTTTGTTTGTTTGTACATTTGTATGTAACACTCCCTCTCCTGCTCAGAGAACCGCAGAAAGCATTGTATTGTATACACAAACGCCAAAAAAAACAAACATGAGCAACACACAGTGTGATCTGCAGTATGTGAAATACATGTAGTCTTGGTTAACGCCACAGCATCGTCCAACTCAAGGTTTGTATTTTTTGTGCATAAACTGGGAATTAGTATTCATAAAGCATGTCACATTCATTAAATGACTTGCTGGATACCGTCATGGAAAACAACACTGCGGTGGATACCTCGGTTACAGCAGCACTATCACATCAACACTCTTAGAAAGACAAACATCCAGTGTTGTTTACCGTATGAGAAGGTGTCAGGAAGAGGCACCCCGTGGCCAGCTAGTTCCTGAAAGGTCCAAAACTTGTTGACACAGTTGAGTATGGCCTGGGGCCGGTTGATCAGTCGACAGCCCATCTTTTCCAGGTGGCGCAGCACAGTGATGTCACTGTCCGACTGGACCCATGGCGTGGGTACCCGTACTACCACCACCTGTGGATAAGACGTCACCAACTCCTGCTCCACTCGCAGACCTGGCAGTGTGAGATGGTGATTGGGGAATGGAGGGAGAGAGGATTGGAGAGCAGATGGTGGAAGAGACATGACCGTGATTAGACAAAAAATCCTGTGTGGGTACACAAAATTAACAGAAGAAACATCATCCAAACAGGACATTCTTCTACGCATGTAATACAGTTCTGAGCCTTGATGCAGAGCTCTTACTAACATTACTTTCTTGTCAGTTTATGACACTCATGGAATCAGTGCCATCGGGGGGGCGTGTGGTTTGCCCTCTCTACTTGCAAGGTTAGAAAGTAATGCGTCATTGTTTATAGCTCCCATTACATCCTAAAAGTCACATTTTAAGCCTGGAAACATTGTGAAAGCGTTTGGTGAGATTTGGAACCATCATGTACCGGTGGAAAAGCTTACTCCTCTTATTGAGACTGTTTGTGGACACTGCTTCCAGTCGTCACCACACAGCTCAGACTAGGAGTTGGCCGGTTTACAGAACCAGGCAGAGGCAGCCAGCTCCGAGGATGGTGGTTTTGAGCTATGAATTTAGAACCTGCAGTGCCTGCTGATACAAACATTTACATACTGCCCATACCCATATACAGAACTCCTCTGCAGTGCTGCGATATTGTTCTCTTGGACAGAGAAAGAGAATTCCTTGCTGATATACTGACGCTATATACTATTTTGTCACAATGTAGGGCAGTGGGGCAGGGAGAAATGTCTAAAAGCCCAAGGGTGCAAATCTGTAGTTTAATAACGCATGAGAAAAGCATGGTTAGAGACACTATGTTGTACATGTAGGATATTTTTACAACAGTGTCGTCCAGCCGTCTTTAAAAATCTGACTCTGTCATAATGCAGAATCAATGTAACCTAATAGATCCAGGCTCTGAACTTCACAGTGTTTTGCTTTCCTGAAAGTCAGATCAACATTGGTTTTCAATGTCTCAGCCTGACACCACTTTTATTATGCAAATGCTAGCTACGTAACCACAATAGGCTAACTGAGCACATCTGAATAGGTCACTGATCAGCCGTTTCAATTCAGCACAGCATGTATAAGCCACAGAAAACAGGGGAGAGTTTACAAAGAGAAGCTTGTATAGTATGATGGTGAGAATGAAGCTGGTGCGACAAAGAACACGCCAATTTTTTTCACAAAGGCTACAAATTTGACAAATTCCAACATTCATGAGCCTTCACATGCCTCTATTAAAGCCTATGCAAGGCTGCAGAACAGAATAAATTTGAAATAACAGAGTATTGGCTTCATATTTTCTGACACAGATGGCAAATTCACTCGCCACAGACCAAGATTCTGAAGCATTTTGCTGGTGGCTGGTGGTACTGTGTCACCCTGGATGACAAGAGGAAACTGAGACAGATTTTTGAGCCTGTGACGCTACCCAAGAGCTCATCAGGATGAAGAGATTAAGAGACCGCAACATCGTATGTGTGGGTATTCACATGTACCCTATGTATGGGAAAGAAAGAAGGGGGTGCATTTCTTACTGGCACAGCACTTCACCTCCACCGTGACATGAATTTCAGCCATCTTAGAATCTCCAGGCTCACCATAGTGATAATGGCAGTGTCTGAGATCATCAGAGGTCAGGAGAAGCTTGATGGTTGCTGCATACATAATAACAACAGCTAGATAGCTATTGATGTGCCTGCAGATGCACCGTGCACCCAGCCTGCATAATGCATGTCTTGCGCGCTTATTCTAGGGTCGGCGTTTGCACGGGCACAGGTAAACAGGGTTGAACAGGAGACAGGCGACAGGCAGAAAAGGTCAGGGATGTCTTGTAGCTAAAACACAGGAGGAAAGGAGTGAGGGGAGGGAGGGGAAAATGTGGCGCACGATACTGGTAGGATGAGGCCGTGAAAAGACCCCACCCCTCCCCGTTTTCTGTTCCTCACAATCTCAGTACAGAAGCAGGAGGATTGACTGTCTCTCCGGCCCTATTCAGCGCTCTCACACACTGCTCTGATTGTGTAGCAACTGAGAGCGCTGTGAGTGGTGTTACAGTGGGAAGTGTCAGGGGATGTGGTCTCATGGTTTTTGACAGACAGTATTCACAGTGCTCGTCTCCATCTCCAGGGGGACCAAACAGAGACCAATGAGGCAGCTGGATGAATCAGTCCTATTCATCTGTGCAAGCGTTCGTGTGCGCCGCACTGTCCGTCATGTGATCATAGCAAAAAAATGCTCAGAAATCCAAACCATTCCAACGCTTAACAATTTCAGCGTAGGTTTCTGTCAGACAATACGTAACTTTATTGTGGATGCGGTCCGTTTGCAGTTACAACTGAGGGGGATTTTCCTTTTTGATATATCGTAATGGTTTCATTGTTCAGCCCACTGCATAGGTGCGTTCCATTTTCGATCTGCCTGACAAAGCTAACATGCATAACAAGCATTCTACGCATGCCGCTGCAACGTCACAAAGCAGGCTGACAAACGCTGTGGCAGTGTTTGGCTGGTCGGTCCTGCCAGCGCTGAATGCGGCTTCACTCGAGGTCTGGGTATCCTGTCTACATTAGCCTGAGGAGGCAGCAGGTTAACCCACAGTTTCTCATGGTTTGGTTTGGGCTAACAATGCCTCTAATGGCCTATTTGCATATCTGTCATCGGTAACACACATCAAACAATAACATATATGTAGGCCCACTGCGAGGCTGGGCAAAAAAAAAAAAAAAACCTTTTGTTGATCACTCAGCATGGAGGCCTATGTATTGTGTGGTGCCAGCGACTTTGCCACTTTGGCACTTGAGCTACGTGAGGCAAACAAGACGTATCAGGAGAGAACAAAAAATATCAGGCAAAGATGATGCTGAACAGCACGCAAGCAGAGTTCAGCAAATACATTAAACTGCCAGTGAAGAATTCTGGGACCGATGAGGTCAAACCCATTACCACATTAACTGTAATTTACAGAGTCATCTTTTATGTGTTTGGTTTAGGGCTGGGAGGTCTTTTAATGTAACCGCATGCCATATTTTGGATGAGACTGGGCATGATGATATAATGATGCATTAAATATAATGGCAACTCTAAATTTATAAAAGAAGTAACATCGCACCTGCAGTGGCATACATGTTCAAAGTGATGAACACATCAGTTTGTTTATTTATAATGCGACCTGGCACATCGGCAGTGATGAATCAAAATCATTAAAAGAGAAGGTAGCGATACATTCATATAAGTACTAGAAATACTTGTAGGTAATACAGCCTGTTATGTATTTTGTAGGCAAGTGAAGAGTGAGTGCTTGGGTATAGTGTCAGCATGTAGGCTGTTTTCCTAACCGTTACTTAATGGTTCTCTTTATATATCTGACATCATGTTATGTAGGAAATATTTTTGTATCCTCAGCTGGTACAAAAAAAAAACAAAACACATCACTGCAATTTTATCTGAAGTTTCTTTGGCATTTCCTAATAGTGCGGCTGGTAATACTGGCAAATCAACTTCTGTTAACCTCCAATAAAGCATTGCTTCTCTTGTGGCGTGTGCCATTCATGTGGTCTGAGTGGAAAAAAAATCAGCAAAGAAGACGTCGATGCATCGTCATTCTTCCAATAATATTTGTGGGTTTGTGGTCATCTGTAGCCTGTTTTCCCAACAGTTTTGACAATGATCATCAACATCATTCACCACCAGAAAGTATGAAGCCTTACAGCAGACACTGTTCTCTCTGGCAACAATGCAAATTACATGCGCAAGTGCTTATTCGCACCAAAAAAAAAAAAACCTTGAACTTTAAGTACAGATAGGATTTTGCATAGAAAGATATGGCTGTTGCTCACATCCTAATAAGAATCTGCTATTCTAGGGGGAAAAAAAGTGAATGGGACTTTTTGGGTTGGGACCAACTGGCACAACCATTAAATGAATAAAAATGAGTGTGTGACATGAAGGTGTGCAGCCTTATGTATAGCTGTGTATCTTTAGTGCAGGCTTCTTTCTTATCTAGAGGAAAAAGCAAGTTCTGTGAGCCTCTTTGGCAACACCAGTAAAATGCAAATGGTCCTTTCCAGGCTGTATGTGAGAAGCTGCAAATGAGACACTGCTGGCTAATTGACAAACAAGCTGTTTTCCTGGAATAAAACATGTGCGATTAAGTCGCAGCTCTAAAAAGACTTTAAACTCGCTTTATTATTTTAAAATGTAATATATACTGGTGAAGAATTTATTGTGCAACAAAGAACTGGAAGTGTTGGTAGGCAACACAAGCAGTGTGATTTACAGAAGTTATGACTGTGATCAAGGACATTTTTTGTATAATATCAATCAATGGAATGATTTAGCTTTTTTTTAACCACATGTAAAATAATCAATAACAGCTTGTAGATGCAATTCAAGTTCAACAGGCTTTCTCTGTAAAGCCTTATTTCTTGGAGTTTGTGCTTCAAAGGCAGCCAAAACAAGAATTGACATTAAAGCTACAGTATCGGTCTCTCTGTTAGACTGTAAATTAAGACAATGAACCTGCCTCGACGTTCCATCTTCGCTGACACAGAAGTGTTGTATTTATCATCTTTGGGATAAAAGTGGGGCCAGTGGCAAACAGAGGGATCAAAAAGGACTCTGACATCAATTCATATCCGGTCTCTTTAAATCTGTTCAATCATGGGATGTGAAATGCCTCTAGCTGGCTGAACGTCGGGTTTAGCTGTCCTATGTGAAGGGCCGTCATTCGTCATTAAAACATAATGATGTGCATGTGTGGGTGCACGTACTGATCACTCCTCCTAGGGGCACATTGAACCCATTAACTTCAGTGTGAGACATGGACCTCAACCTGCCGTGAGAACACAAATGAGCCGAGGGAATGAGAAACCCTTTGAAATGCCAAGTTGTATATGTGTTATCAGTTTTAAGACTGTGACAGCACTTTGACCTTACCTAAAACAAATACGATGCGCGCATGAACTTCTTTGGGGTTTAAGTTGTTAATGTCTAGTTTTATTACTTTTAAAAAGATAGAGCTGATCTATAAACAAGTTCTGGTATTACAGCCTCATACATATATCCATCTACATATATGTATATGTACTCATTTTGGAACAAAATACTTCCTGGTACATCCTCTCAGCACTGCTGTTCTACATAATTTCTCTAATTTTAATTAATATCATATTTATATATCTATTATTTACATGTAAAATGCATTCAAGACAACAGACAGTAGTGTTGACTAAGACAAGTGTTTCCACATCCATGAATACGCGAGGGTCTGCTTGGGTTTGTGCATGAGCCTCTCTGCATGCAGCTCAAAATTGATGTCAGCACAGACAGTCCCTGTGGTGACTATGCTCCCAGAGCACTAGTGTGTATGCAGGACAGTAGCGTATGTGTGGAATACAGCCTACTGTGCATGTATGGAACAGAGTCCTCCGAGCAGACTCCAGATGGACTTGAAAGTAGTATAATAGCAACAACTATGCATGCCATGAAAAGAGGGTGTCAGCAACATGATGGTGAACTAACGCTTGTCTTTCCAGTGTTAAAAAAGATCAGGATTGTTCACACTAACTGATCGTGTCTCAGTCGCTGCATATGCAGCTGTATTTCCTGAAGTTTATCTGTAATTCCATCAAGCGCCTTAACTTGTGTCTTGCCTCTGCACCTTTATCCATACGCTCATCCACATTAAGATTCATACAACCTGGGATATTATGCATGTTACAAAAGACCAGCAACTTTGTTTTCATAAGGACGGTGCAGTCATGATACCAATCCTGTTTTGATTTTGCATTGGAAATTACCTTCCAACTCCAGAGTTTCTGTAATCCATATGTAAATCAAGTGTGGGTAATTCACATCAGGATAAAAGCTGCACTTAATGGTAGGTGCACAAGGCCAGTGTGCACCTCAAGACCCCAGCCAAAGAGCATACTCTGTGGCTTCCTGTGTGGCAAGAAGACAATCTGTCCACTGGCTTCTAATAGGCTCAGAGGACATTTAGCGAATGCAGACTTAGGACCGGCATGGATTATAGCACATGCTAACTGCCATGCTTATGTGTATCTTGCTAAGCAACAGGTCTAGACAGCTGTCTACCTATATATCTGTGTCGGCTGGCACGATCTCTTTATCCTTATCCGCTTCTTCTTTAGGTCAGATTAACAAGTAACAAAAAAAAAATACACTTTGAATTTATTTTGATATGATAAATACCCTTACTAGGGTTTGTTTATGATCACAAACATCCTTTTGGTCGCACTACGGTATGAGAAATGTATGTCACCTCATAAGTGCCATGCTTTCCACTTTAATGCCCATCTGTTGGCATGTGAGGCCTCATGCTGAGTGGAAAGCTTTGCCATGACCAAGCTGTACAGTACGATGCAGCAGTAATACAGTACCGGTACGTAGATAGCAAGGAACATGCTGCCCAGTCTCGCTCTTAATTATTCCACTTCGGTACATTTTCTTCCATCTATTCAGCCTTTGCCAATGTCAGCCTACACCATTTATGTGTTAATTGAGACTTTCACACCTCTCATCTGGTGACACTGGCCCACCACTTCACTTCACACCAGCCTGACGAATTCCATGTGTGTCCATTTGTTGAGAGTTCCTACTGTTACCATCACTTTAGCAAGGCCTCCTGAGTCATTACTGTGAAATTACAACATTTCACAGTAATGACTCTGGACCAAGCAAATGACAACAAAAGATTGATGAAGGATCAAGACACAGTGCTGGTGGGAATGATAAGGTAGCTTGTAGCGAAAACATAGTCGATGAAGTTGATGCATGGTTGGTGGGTTTTAGTTGTGATAATCAATGCACCGTTTGAGTTATTTATCAGGTAATAATGAACAGGTTGTGCAAGATCATCTTATTGTGGTTTCATGGTTGTGAAGAATTGTGAATATTACTTTGGGTGTGTATTGTTAAACTACTACTTCTAACACCTTATAAAAAAAAATACTGATCTGATTGCTCAAATTCAGTGTATTTGAGAATCTTTGAGTAGCATAAAACATGCTAGTAAGTGTGTTTCTTGTTCTGTAGGCTGCTTCAAAGGACAAAACCCTGGTCAAAATATAAGATATTATCACAGAAACCACAAATTCAGCGTTAGAGTCAACACAATGTGCAGCGAAATGATAGGAGCTCGACTTGATCCCAACAATAAACGCCTGTTTCTGTAATTACTGGCTTCGTGTGCTATTGAAAAACTATCTCCGCTGACTTGTGTAAATCTGATCATACACAACAGTGTTTGAATTGCAACGTATTCAGCAAAAAAAATCTAATCAAGCGTCATCGCTCCCCTCAGACTGGAGGCAGTCTAGCTGGAAAGTGGGTTAGGCGGTCACTGCTGTGCTGTGCTTCGCTTCCTTGCTAGCAAGCAGACCGGGCTAGCCCTCTCCTCGCTTTACGGCAGTGTGGTCCCCCAAACAATGACCGCCTGCCATTAACTTTGCGGAGCACGTAAAGCACCATTGATCTCATATCCGAGCCAAACTGCATCATTAGCTCACACACTTTATGACTACACAACGACTGCTTTGATCGATCGGGTGATACTTGCCTAACTGCCCCTCGCTGATCGTCAGCACGATTTGATCCATGAGCAGGGAGCGGAATTCAACATCCTCGTCGGCGCAGCGCTCCTTCAGCGCCCGGAGGATCTGAACTTGTGGGTACTCCTGGCTGATGCGCCGGTCGGTCACGAACCAAACCCGAGAACACATTTTCCTTTGTTTTGTTTTTTTTTTTTGGATTGGAAAGTTTTTCAAAAAGGAAGGAAAAAAATCCGCTGGAAATGTGTGGGCGGCAGGTGTGCGGTGGCAGCGCGGGCTTCGGGAGTCGGGCGGCAGCGGAGTAGCACAAGAGATGCTCACACAATGAAGACCTCGGCGGCTAGCGGTGCGAGCGGGCTGTGATGTGGCTAAAAACAGGACCGCAGGACTCAACCGCTGTCTGGACCGAACCGGCAAGGAACGAATAAGCTTCTTTATCACCTTTGTTTCCCGTCGCCTGCAGCCATTTAGTCCTCCAGGGGTGCAGTTTTGTCGAACCGAGCGTATTCGACAAACAGAGAGGAAGATAACGGTGATTTCACCCGCACAAAACTTGTCTCTTTTCAACCGAGATGCAGCTCTTGCCGCCGGGGCAAACAAAGCTCAAGCTGCGCCGCTCTGTATTTCCGCTTGCCGCCTCAGGACCGGTGGATAAAGTTTTTGTTTTTTCCCGTGATCACACGCAGCGAAGTCCTCGGTATATTACGATAAAGTGAAGCTAACCCACGCACCGCTACTCTCTGTGCTGCGTTTGGCTGCTATCCACGAGGTATTGGTGCTGAAAAGTGCACGCGCCTCGTTTACAACTACACTCGTCCGCGCTCCCGTGGCCCAAGAAAAAAAGAAAAAGAAAAGGAAAAAAAGAACCGGGGTCTGCCCCAAAACAAAGGTTCGGAGGGGCGTCAACCAATCACAGCCCGGCAGCCGCCTCGCTGCCCAAACAGCATGCGGAAGGAGTGGGCGAGCCGCGACGCCGTCAGCCAATCAGACTTAAACTGCCGAAGGGGGGCGGGGCCTGCTGAGGGCGCGCACAGAAGCGCTGCGAGAAGTCTGCAGTGCGCACGAGTCCGCGCACTTTTCCGAACCGGTTCAGACCAGACGGTGCGAGGAGGTCTGGCGAACACCGACGGCGCTGTCTCTATGCCGAAGTGGCAGGAAATGAAACAAGGTCATCGCAGACCGAAGATACTACCACCCTCCCCTTCTTTTTCTCTATTTCCGTGTCGTTTCCCACAGACCGGGAGGCGTTTTTTGTTTCGCTTTTTTTTTCACATCGTTTTGTATTGAAACGGTGGCCATTGTTTGACATCCTGGGTCAACTGTGTGTGACTGAGGAGGAAAACACCTTAATGTGACAGCGGGGCGAAATTATGCGATTGACCCACTTCTCGTTCCCTTCCGCTCTGTCCTTGTGTGTACGGCAGTACATCATTAAGGGGTGGAAGTCTGAACACACACACACACACACACACACACACACACACACATCAGAGGCATATTTTTAAATTCACTTAAATATACTTTCCGAGGATATCGTTGTCCCCGTCCTTAAATCAGCTCAGAAAAGACACACAAACCCCCTCCTGAACTGGCATGGGACTAATCACAATTTTAAAATATATTTAACATCATAGTTAGTTATTAATGATTAAATGTAAACTAATAGATGCATTGCAAACACTAACTTCTAATAGCCAGTTCGGCATATTTTAATAATGGAAATTAAAAGTATATTGTAGGTAAATAACTACAGACATAAGGCACACAGTTGACTCCGACGCTTCCTGTTTATATCCCCCAAAGCATTATGGGAACTTTAGTTTCTGTATTTTGGGCATGACTACACTTCTCCAAATATTACAAGGGTAAACCCTCCATTAGTCAGCTTTCAAGCCACTTGAGAGTCAAATGGAGGATTATTCATTAGTTTGAACACAAATGTTATACTTTATGGTAATGTATGAGAGTGTAAGACTGAGATTTTTGAGATATCAATATTTTCAGTGCTTTAGCCTTGCTAATGTTAATAGATTTGTGATAAATCATATACACCATTATCTAATACAGTAACATGATAGCAAACCAGCAGTAAATATATATACTGTCATCCCTCTATGTACTAACTAGCTGACTTTGTGTTAAGCTAATAACGTTATGCTGCATTAGCTTGCTGTAGCACTAGCCAGCTTAAAATCTTCGTCAGAGTGGGATAAGCAGCCCTTGTGATTTGTGGTGACATTATTTTTTTATCTCAGGAATTTAAATATCAGTGATAATAAAGTTACTGTAAGGTTAAAGCTACCGATTGTGCTCCAATGTGATTTGTCCAAGGTCCATCCATTTTAAATAAATTGGCAATAATGAAGCCACTTTAAAAACAATAAAAATAGACTATAATAGTTGTAGTTTGTTATGATGTAATTTCCTTTTAAATGTCTTCACTAAACCCTATTCAGGACTTTCATGTTGCCATACGTAGAAGGTCTTTCAAGGCCCAAGAAAGAATATGTGCAAAATATTTGTTGGTATTCGTTACAGACATTTATGCTATGTTAAATAAATTTCTCATAAGCTGACGTATTTTTAGTTAGGGTTAGGGCAAATGTCCCTCTTTTTATATTTAAAAAAAAATCTTCAAAAATAAAAAAAACATCAATAACTGTCACCGAAACCAAATGGCCTGGGGTCCAAAAGACCCGAATAGGGTTAAACATACCTTTTGTATAAATATTATTTTAATATTCAACATATTTACATATTAAAAGTCAATAGACCTTTTTTTTTTCTTAAATGTGTCTAACCTCTGTCTACCCTACCACCCTTTTTTCAAAGTATTTGACAGGTTACAGGAACTTGCCACAATACGTTTGTGGATTTAGTCTGTTTCGACTGCTTTTGTCTCATCATGCGTCCTTGAACTGACTGAATAGTTCTTTATATTCTCAGAATCTCCTTTTGATGTGAGTAATTTTTGTGGAAGACTGGCGCACCCCTTCATCCATTCACACACTTATATCAGTACTGTTTTGACAACCGGGGTCATAGCCTGTTCTTTTCTGTTAGACATTTTAATAAAGGTAGTTTCTGATCAATACATTATATCAACCCATATACAACAGCCTTACTATAGAAATGTTATGATTAACAAATTACCAGGGTTTGAGTCTCGGCCTGGGGTCTTTCTGTGTGGAGTTTGCACGTTCTCCCTCTGCCTGCATCGGGTCCCACCAGGTGCTCTGGCTTCCTCCCACAGTCCAAAGACATGCTGAGGTAAACTGGTGATTGTAAATTGTTTGTAGGTGTGAATGTGAGCGTGGTTGGTTGTCTCTCTGTGGCCCTGTGATAGACTGGAGACCTCTCCAGGGTGAACCCTGCCTTCGCCCTAAGTCAGCTGGGATAGACACCAGCCTCCCCGCAACCCTAAGGAAAATAAAGCAGTGTATAAAAAATGAATGGATGGATCATTTTCTATTAACTCCACGTGATGCTCAAGTATCTACAAAGAGGTTTGTAACTCTCAGATGTTAAACCCCGGCTGGTGATAACTGCTTTAAATCATTATTTGTCAAATGAAAGTTACAGAACACACAACTGGTTATCAAAGCAAACCTCCCAAACAGACATTTCTGCATTGTTTCTTAGCTGCATGTCAAACTGATGCAATTCTCATCTGCAGGCAGAGCTGGTAGGCTGTTCTCGCGAGACTGCATCCTGCACAGCAACCAACAGCGAGACAAAAAAAAAGTCCATGTGACTCAACGATAAATTCTCTGATTAACCCACATAAAAGTTCACAAAATTGTAAAAAGCTTAAATGAAGTCACTGAATATTTGTAAAATAAACCAACTGATCCGCATGTTTACACAGCTGTTATCAGTTAGTGGCAGTGGGACGATTACCTTTTATTTCCAATGAAAGTAAATCTGTATGTCACTGTTGTTTTTGGCTGTTTGTATGATCAAAGCCTTCCTCGAGATATTACAAAAGGGGATTTCTTTCTGAGTCATTTTGTCTGAATGAAATAGCCTATGATTCAGCCCCCATCCCCGCCCCGATCATTTTCATACGATCCTTAACCCTGGCGTCCAAGGGATGGAGAGACTACACCAGATAAAAATGGAAAGTGTGAGTGTTTGCTGAGACATGTCGTGCACCCTTCAGGTTCCACCCTGAGAGTTGTGTCGCTATTTTCGTTCTCTTACATACCGTCTGTGTTTAGTACGGTTTTGTTTGCTCCTTGTAGCATCCTCTGAGCACGACGCACTGCAACGCCGGAGAGCCAACAGGATCAAACCGGGAAGAGCCGGTGCTGCTGCCCAATCATCGCAAAGTGGGCGGAAGGCGTCGCGGCAGACACATTCGTCTTTACGCACAGCGCGCACTGAGAAGCAGACTGAGACCAGCCTCCCTTATTTGTCATGTTAACAATGTGAAACCACCAGTTTTTATGATGAAAATGAAACAAAATTGCCTCAACGCTGGTTAGATCTCGTGCAAAAACGAACGGCAGTAATTCAATAATAGCACATCAAAGCCATCACAACACAATCCTGCACACTTGACACAGATAAAGCTGCAGGGCTGTTAAAATAATAGTATGCATTATGGGGGTAAATGTGAACATTTAGTGAGAGCACCACAAACAGGCTGACTAATTTAATGATTAGGAGCCTATCAATGTTTGGATAGAGACTCACCACACAACATCAACTGTATCTGTTCACATTTTGTCATAACAAGATGAACAAACCCTCCATTGTTGCAACACAATTTGCAAGGATGACACACATGAGAAGGTCAATATTAGTGCTAACACATGGAGAATGAGCTGCACTTTAAACAGGGGCTGTTTACACGTGGCTATCACAGCCTCCAACGCTTAAGGATATTTAATTGAATTCATGCAAAACACAGTTAAGTTCACATCCAAAAAGCCTGTCTGAGGATTCTTAAACTATGGCAGCACATTGTCTTAGGCTGGAGAGCCCTCTGGTGGTGGACTAGCAGATTACAACGCCTGATCCAAAGGAGGGTTATCCACCTCTGGCTTTTTTATTTTGATTTCTTAAAATGAAATGAGATGACAGATGTGGAAGGTGATGGCTAAGATGGTCCCAGTGGCATCAATTCAATTCAATTTATTTATATAGCGCCCAGTCACGACATATGTCATCTCATAGCACTTAACATAGTATGGTGATGACCTTACACATTTTAAACTGAGGCCAACAACAAAGTTATTATAATGACCCCTGTGACCCCCAAACTGAGAGAGTGGCTCCAGCAGATTCCATGCACAACATCTGAGGTCTCTGTCTGAAGAGTGCAGTCCTAGGAATAGTTAAACCTGCACAGAACCTTCAAACTCTTTTTTTTTGCCCCCAAGATTCTTTCTCTGTGTCTAATTCAAGAGGTTCGAGACTCCAAAGGAGAAGTAATAGAAGCTTTGGTTAAGGATCTTAACGGGTACGAGGTTTTGCAGGTTCAAATACTGGTGAATGTTCGGTCATGTTTAACAATGTCCACTCAACAACAGCTTCATTCATGTTGTCGTGGACAGATTTGACAAATATAACTCCTATTCTTACATGGAGAGTGAACGGTTGGGCAGGAAGACCTACAAGGAGCAGTATGTCTACATTTACAGGTAACCAGATCTATCTATCTATCTATCTATCTATCTATCTATCTATCTATCTATCTATCTATCTATCTATCTAACTGGATGCTGCAGATGTAGATGTAAACATAGATAGACTGTACTGTTGTCTCACAATCCTCCAGTTCCACTATTTCAAGAACGCTTGCAAGAAACCCCACCGTCCAGACGAGTGCAGCACTGAGTTGTTTATGGCCTCAGCACTGGTGAATCATGTGACCAGGCTCACAGACAAAAACACACACTTTGTGTCAAATCTCAGGTGTTTAAAACTCAGTAAAGAAATATATTTCTGATATTCTCGTAATAACAGTAGCATAGATTAACATAGTGATCAGAAGTCTACTTGTTCTGACTTCTCGATTATAGTATTTTTAGGAAGTTCTGGATGTTGAGATATTCAAACTCTGGAATTGTAAACTGTGTCTGATATGATGTGTGTCAACAAAAGGTTTGGCAACCTTGTTAAATTCTTAAAATGACACCTAGTCATTGTCATTCAGCAAAGACATTCTGAATATGCAAATGTGTTCATTACCAGAGTTTGACTTTTAAACAGAAAACGCCTCCTAATTTAGTGAAAAATCCATCATCAGTGCACCAGAGGTTTCAGGTTTCCACATCACAATTGCATAAGCCTGCTGCACAGCAAACTCTGATTTGTGATTCCAGACTAGTTGTGATGCCACAATATCATGGAGACTTTAATGTAAACTTAGTCACAAGTGTATCTTACCACACGAAACCTGAACGTTTCCACAAATGAGAAGTTTGCGCCCCCAAACTGTGCTGCATGTAGTGAGGCTGCACTTCCACTTCTTTCATTGGCTCCTCTGGACGAGGTTAAAACAAGCTTTTCAATTCAAAGCTTAAACAGCACTGTTAAAAACTACAAGTACTTTACATCAGACATGTACGTTTCCACATTCTGACCCACTGTGCGAATAATTGAATCTTTTCTGGAAACATGCAAATGACAGGCTTTATTATGGGATTATGGAGTTAGCTGTTTGCTAAAGCCTCTGCAAAGAGCTACGGAGCTAAATGTTCCAGGGACTTACACTTGCCAAGCAAAATGTGTAGAAACCCACTGTCTCTGCACAGATCCGGATTGTGCCACCGTCATGTCGTTCCCTCTCCCCACCCCACCCCTTTTATTTTTGCATGCATATATCTGATACAACTGAGCTACTTTGAGTTAACTCACATAGTGCCTATAGGGAAACTACTACGAGGTCAAGAGGCAGATGAAGGCGCTGTTCACAGGGATGCTGCAGCAGCTCCTGTTTACAAAAGATGTCCTTGTTGGATGAATTGTTGATCCTTAGAACTGAGTGGAACATATATACGTACTGTATATTTCAGAGTGGATAACTTTGTCAAGGATATTGAACGCTGGTAGAAAAAATACATGCAGCCAAAAATGTGCATTTGCATCCAATATTTGGATGCAACATACCCTTCCTGCAGCAAAGGGAGTCTGAGTAGACATCATTGTGAACTTTTGAGGCCGAACACATCATATGAAGCACGCTGGAGCTGGAAATATTCGGCTTGAACAAGCTTCCCAGACTGTTGTCCTCTCCAGGTGGGTGCGCTGTGCCTTCACATCAGCCCTCTCCTCATATTTAATCAAGAAATTACAGTCGTGCAGGAATACCTGGACTATAACAGATAGGACACAAACCAGGAAGCTGCAGATTTGTTGGTGTAGTAGAACAGTATAATACATAGCAGATGCCAATAAATCTTGCTTTGTTGCACTTTGTAAATGTTCTTATTTAAGCATGTTTATTAGAATTTGGTGGGTTTGGTATCTGGATGCAACACAGACAGCTTTGAAAAAAATCAAAAAATTCCCACCTTTATGAAACATTAAAAGTCACTGACATGTCATAATAATAATAATAATAATAATGAGGATTATGGCTCATATAATATTTCAACAAATAAACATGACACAATCTGCTCCTCACTGATATCCCTGCTTTTTATTTTAATCATAATTATGGCAGGCGTGTCCTAGTGGATCTCATTAATATTGAAATTGGGAACTAGTTAAATGGATGTGATTTCATTTTTTCTTTTTTCTTTTTCTTTTTTCTCTCCCATCTCTCCCCCCCTCTCTTCCCTATTGTGGTGCATGAATTCATCTTCAACGTGCTCCGGCTGGCGTTGGAAGTAGTTCCGGTGGTTTAGCAGCCGAGCGGAGCACACAGACCCCGGGATCTTCACGTTGCTTGAGCGCAAACGCGAATAGCGGGTCGAGTTCCTGCCGTCATGACTGTCGAGTGACCAAGAGCAGCGGTCAGCCGGACGGGCCGCAGGAGCTCCGAGCCCGCAAGCCCCCCACGAGTGACAGCGCCGGAGCCACCGCGGGGAGCTTTTGTCTTCGAGCGGGGAATTTTTTTTCAAGTGCAGAATCGGCGTCTGGAGCTTCTGAAAGCAGAAAAAAAAAGAAGAAGAAGAAGAGCCGGTTCATATTCACCACGTACCACGGTGAGTCTGTGCACATTGTGTGTTTTAATGTTGGGTCGTAAAGCTCGGTGACAGATGATGGAATATGAAGAAGTGTTACAAAAAGAGACAGCGGTGTGTGTTTTTTTTATTTTTTTGACTTAACGGCAGGCCGTGACAAGTTCGCTGCCTGTCACTAGATGCACGCATGCAGACGCGTTTTGTCTTTTTTTTTGTTGTTGTTGTTGTGTCCGTGTGATAAAGTCAAACTTCTCTTTAAGTTTTACAGCTAAAAGCTTCGTGAGGCTGCCAGGAAAGAGGCGCTTTAATAATAATGCTAATAAAAATAAAATAAAATAAAATAAAACAATTCCCCCAAGTGCTCAATTGAGCTGCACGCGCAAAATGTTGCAGAGGACGGCTCCCAGCTGACAGGACTGTAGAAGTGATAACAGTGGAGGCTTGTAGTTTGACAAAACCCTGAAGCTCGGACAAGTTGCACCAGTGAAAGCTCATGACAATTTAATTGTTCAGGGCAGAATGTGTGGTGATGGAGCAGATTCTCAGTAGGATTCTTGTAAGATTGGGGAAAAAAAGAAAAGTGGTGACATGAAGTAAGGTCACAGTAACTGGCTTCAGGGGATTCATGGGACTTTGCTAACTTTGGTTCACAGAAAAAATATATTCAATGTAAGTTTGTATTATGTGTGTGAGTGTGTGCAGTTTATACATGCATTTTCTATACAGTATATGTGTGTACGTATGCACACAAATTCACATATACATGCATATATGTTGATTGTTTTTGTTATTTATTAGTCCTACCTGCATACATCATGTTACTCATGTCAGCTCACTCTATTACAGGATACTAATGCATGATATGGACCATGCAGATTATTGTTACTGTTTGCTTTAAACTGGGAAGAATTCACAGAAATGATATTAGAAGTAGATGACACCGCTGTAACACATTTATTTATTTTTTTTAAGTAAATGATGTGACCACTTGTAATGTTTTGATGCACTCAGGAGATCGTGTAACTTCTTTTTTACCACGATGCATGCAGGTATTTTATTTTCCAGCGACCTGCGGTTGCGCTCCTCCACTACGGGTTTGTTTTTCCACAGGCTGCCCCAAACGGACCAGGTTTAGTCTCTTACCATGAAAGGTGACCATCTTACACTGTTGTTATCTGTCATTATGCTGCAGTGTGGACAAGCCGAGCAATGCTACACAACTTCATCTCGCCAAAAATACACAGACAAGGGGAGTTGTGTGTGTGAGAGTGTGTGTGAGTGTGTGTGTGACAGACTGAGAAAGCATTTGAGAGAACACCCTGCTCCTGATTTGGATGCGTCTCTAATTCCTATCAAGATGAGAGCTGTCTGAACAGATTTCTCTCATCATTATTTGCTCTGAGATTTACTTGTGCTTGTAAATGGTGTTGATTGAGGGTAATTTGGCTTTTTAATTGCTGAACAGCTGCCACACTCACTGCTGATTGCCATTGTAGACTTTCTCAGTAGATCACTCATAGACCTCCCTAAATGCCCCATTAAAACGTTATGCAGAATCTCATGAAACGTGAAGAGAAGGAACCCTCATAATGTTTTACTGATTCGTGTTTTATCATCGGAAAGGTCGTCGTAATTATCGTCAATGTCAGCAAATGCAACGCCGAGAAACGAGTGGAGTAATGACTCTTTGAAAGTTGAATTAAGGGTTATTTGTGGATACACTACAGGCATTTCAGTTTCTTTGATAAAGATGAACTCCATGTGCCAGTTTTTGAAATGGTCATGGCTGTCAAAATTTTATGTTGTCTCTCTGCATATTCATTATAGCTTGTAATGTATTCTTTTTGTGTGGTTTCACAAGTAACGCCGGGTAGCCAGTCTTCTTCTTTTTTTTCTTTCCCTCAGCGTCTGCCAAGAATGATTTGCTACCCAATTAAAACACGATGGAGTTAAGACACTAAACTTCTCACAATTTGTGAAAAATATGTGTTTTGTGAAGCAGCTAATGTTTGAAAAGAATGCACGCACTTGTTTTATTTTTTTCTCTCTTTATTATTTAACCTTCCTTTGGTATTTTTTTGAGAAATGGTGTTTAAGCACGTATAGAATCGAAGCAGAATCCTTGCATCCTGATGACCGTGTGCTGTTCACAATTCAATGAAAAAGCCAGCACGATCAGTGTTAGCGTGTATCATTCAGAAGCCCTCTTTTTATTCGCAGTTCATAAGTAAAATCCAATCTCTTTGACACGCTGTGCAGAAAATGTTTTTTTTTTTTCTGTCTTAATTGCACCATTGACGCCTGCAAACAGACAAAACTGTAGGCTCACCTTTTTATACCGCCGCCGTTCCAGAGAATCAGTGTTTAACCTTGGAACGACGTGTTTGCTTAATGAAAAACTTAATAAGTAACAATATGCTTTTAGCAGACACCCACACTCCTCTGTTGTACAGACTGATGCCTGGGAGCTGTCTACTGCTCTTTATCATGAACGCTGCCGCTAGAGGGGCTGTTGGTTAACTGCCTTGCTCGAAGATAGCATGGCAGCAGCCATTAAAAAAAAAAAAGAGAGAGAGGAGGAGGTCTTATTTGTTTGGCCCTCGAACCTGCTTCTGCAATTATGAGACACTTGAACGTCAGTAGGTCGTCTGGTCATTTTAATTACCTCAGGTCGTATCAAAAATCAGCTGTTTAAATAGTCACTGCTTCTACATAATTACCCACCTAAGTTACTGTATGTGAAAAGCATATATATATGTATGTATGTGTATAAAATATATATATATCCATCCTCTGTCATCAAGCTGGGAGGGGGATAAATTTGACAACACATTAGAGCAGCCTTTCTCTCTTTTTAAGTACCTTTAAGTCCTCTGAGTGCTCCCAGTCACTGTGATTTTTGTCATGTCCCCAGGAAAGTACACATAATTTGAATTCAAATGCAGCAAATCCTTTTATCTTGTCAAAATCTTCTTTGATTCTGTTAGTAAAGCCTGGCTATGATTTGAAAAAAAAAAAGAGAAAGATGTAAAAGATAAGATGGGGGGATGATCACTTTTAAAGGCCTGTCATTTGGACTGAACTCAACAGCTGTGCTGCCAGCGACAGGAGTTGTGTGCAGAGCCTCCATTGTGAACCCGATGTAAAGCCCGTGTCTTACACAGGCTGGGAGTGTTGTACTCTGCTGGTTATGTTTTAATGAGTAACAATTGTTAGCCAATTTGCATGTAAAACAATGTAATTGTAAACAAGCATCAAAAAGCTGTAATACTTCTAAAAAATGGAAATTACTCTCCATTATAAAGCGCAACAAAACCTAAGCCATGCCTCCGAGCCAGGGCCTCTAGGTTTTGGATGCTTGCTTCCATTATTAATGCTATTCACAAGCCAAACTTTTTAGGTTGGTGCAGTTGGGTGCTTTAATCTATTTTTGCTGTAAATTAATGAATTTTTAAAGAGGACTAGTCCTCTCTGAATAGTGCTGGATGTGGGAATGTAGTGGTGGTGACGCAGTGCTATAGCCCCCTTTACAGTGCAAAGCATGAGTTCACAAACAGCATCCCATATCTCTCTTGGGACCTCTCGTTGGGGGAGTTTGCCGAAATGCTGCACTCCTATGTTTTATTTATGACAAAATATGCCTTTTTAACTTCGCCGTTGTCAGAATCTAGAATTCTGATAGCTTTTTCCTCGTTGGTAGTAGTAAGTCTTCTGGGTCGCTAACTCCCTCTACCTTGGCAGATGTTTTCAGGTGTTATGTTCTGTGTGGGCTTAGCTAGTTAAATATTTTATTCCAGACCTTGAGGGATTCACTGGAACCTACTGATTTTCTTGCCTTCTCTTCAATCAGATTTTCTCTCCGACTTGAGAAAAGAAAAAAAGAAAAAAAAAAACGGTGTTAATCAGAGCGCTCCGTCTCAGCTGAGATGTCACTCGATTGACTTGGTTGACACGGGTCAGCCAGCAGTTTCCGCAAACTGCTGATGAAATTGTTGCTCTGTCATGGATAAATGATCATTCTCTGTATCGCTCAGTGTTTCCTTATTTTCCCTTTCAAACATCAATTTGTCCGACGGCTCGCTTTAAGGCCGCAGAATGCATCTCGCTTTGAAACACTGCATTACATCGATGCCTCTCCAGGTCTCCTTTAAAAAATAAGTAGACAGTATAATTGCTTAACCCGGCTCCATTGAGGGATAAGCAAACAGCCAACATGAGGGCAGCTGATTTGCCTTGATATCTTATAATTGAACCTTTTCAGGGGTATGTTTTCTGGTGCTGAAGCAGAAAGTAATTAAGACGTTCAATACTGCTTTTTGGACCTTTTCCTCCTCGCTTTGAATGGCCCACACTTCTAGACATGACAGCGCTCAGTATGCCTACAGACTTTCTTTTGACACATTAGCCTTACCCTTGCCAAGGCAGTCCTTCCCAGAAACCCCCTCTGCTCTGCACGCTCCGGGTGGGTATTTTGTCATTACTTCATTTTCCTCTGAAAATATTTTGATGCCTCTTTCCTTTGGCTTCCCTCCCCCCCCTTCTCTCACCCATCCCCCGTCACTCCATTCAAAGTTCTCTATTAAAATGCAGAACTGTAAAGCCTCTCTCAGTCTAAAAGCCTGCTAGCAGCGGGGGACTGTTAGCTGTTAGTGATGCATACAGCTGAGTGAGTGCATCACAGCTACAAAGTCTAATGGGTGAATACATTCAATCACACACACACACACACACACACACATACCCTCAACTCTTTTAAAGGGACAATGTTCCCAGTCATGAAAGCTCCATCCACAGTGCAGAGAGTGATGTGTTTAAATTCTTTGCAGGAAAAAGATTTCTTGTTCATAAACATCCAAATCCTTGCTCTTCTTTTTTCCATAATGCTTGTAATCTCCTCTGTAAGTGCCAGCTAATGTCTTACAACTTCCAAGTTACAAAAGTTAACTTTTTATACGCTCTTCGTTTTTTTTTGTTGAGTAAAAGATAAAAATCGCAGATGCCACGTGTCCCCCCCTTCTACCATAATTTGAACCTCTTCTGATCCCCATTAATGTTAGCCAAGCATCTCTCTCAGAAAACGTATGCTCCTGTGCGCATTCATTCTAAAACCGCTCAGACTATTTAATCAGTCCCTGCTTTTCTGTATGATTAGCTGCCAGAATACCCGCCTTTTTACCACCTTTATTTCCTTTTCAGCTGCAGCTCTTTGAAATCCTCGTCTGTAAAGTTTTTGATGTTTCCTGAACAGTGATACAAAGTTGAATTTTGTGATCTTGACTGGTATGAGCAGGAACTACTTATCGTTACTGCCCAATCAGTGCACTAGAATTAGTCCTTCCCTGCAATGCAACAAGGAGACCCTCTTGTAGGAGCAGTTTTCTGAACCACCGTTTCCTGTTTCTCAGAATTATTCGTTCAAAACATGCAAACAATCGTGAATTTATAAACGATGCATTTTGTCATTGTTAGATAAAATATGGCCAATCTGGTGATTGACTTTCTTAATGTGGATCCTTCTAAAATATTCCTATTTGGTGTTTTAATTGCTCCTGTAATAAGGAAATATTATAAAAGTGTAGCGTTTATTATTAAAAAAAAAAGAAAAAAGAAAAAGATCGATATGAGAATCAGAATCATAAACACAATCATGATTTATTTAATTATATATTCATGTATTTAATATTATTTTTTTAAGGAAGTGGAAGTCTGTAGTAGAGAAAATGTGCTATTTATGTATCCTATTCTGTTCTGTTCTGTTCTGTTCTATTCTAAGGATAAACTCAATGAGCAGAAGATAGACAGATGCTTCTGATACAGATCTTAACATGAGTATCATGTAGTCATCTCTACAATTCTACAGTTTCACTCAGAAGACGCTTTTATCCAAAGCAACGTACATCTTAGAGCAGATACAACGCAAGCAAGGATCTAGTCGGCGCTGACATTTTTCCAAATTTCTCTTTTCAGTTCTATTATCTGTCCATTTGAACTCATACGAACATCAACACAATGGACAGAAGGGTTGGTTATGTTGTCCATGTTGCTGTTTGAGTGCATGAAGGAAACCACGAACCAGTTACCTGAGACGAATAAAGCACCTTGATGGTAAATTTTGAAGCGCTCGTTTCAAAGAGTCTCTACCGGAGAGTCTATGCGTTCCATACAACGGAGCGTATTTCTGTAGAAAACCGATAGCCTCAAGATAAGCAGGGATATACTGTAAGCTGTCTTCTCTGCAGTGATCATTTTTCCTCCCCTGATACCACGCAGGCCTCTGAGGCTGATGTGAAACACAGCAGATATCAGAAACAAAAGACACAGTGCCGAGGTTAGCTCAGTCACTGTGGGACCAGTTGACTGAGTCGACTAGGTAATTGGTTGCGTCTACCCGCCCAGCAGGGCCCCTCTCCCCAGAAGCCAAGTCATGCACCTCCTCTTCTCTCTCTGCTCTCTTCTATTACTCATCATCCCAACACCTCACCAGGCTAGCGGTGCGAAGCTCCACCGTGCCGCCGTGCAGCCAGCCCACGCTCCCAAACTTCTCAACAACAACAGCCACGGCAGCACAGCAGGTCGGGGCTTGTGGCAGGCTGATTTGCAGCTTGAGCCTTCTTTTAATGAGGGGAAAATAAGTACTTGTTGTTCTGTGTCTTGTGTGTCACCACCCCCATCCCCACCTACCCACCACCACCACTACGACTAGCAATGCTACCTTCCCTTCAGCGACAAAATAGAAAAAGAAGGAAGAAAAAAAAAAAAAAAAGGTGCACTAATTAAGATGGCTTCCTGGGATTTGAAAGAGGGGGTTGGCTATGGCTTCTCCCACAGTGGCAGGGCCTTGAGGAGGAGATGGGGGTGGTGTTGTGCAAGAGGACTCATCGGGCATATCTCCTCTCGGTTCCTCTCTCCTTCCCTTAGTCCCACTGCTTGGCTTGTTTGGCTTGATGAGTCTGCTGCTAAACATGTGTTTTTTTCTTCTTGTAATTAAGCATGGTTTTCACAGGAGCTGGGTATTTCCCTTCTTCTTCTTCGTTTTTTTTATTTATTTATTTATTTATTTTTATCCCCGGCATATTGGGCTCTCCAGGGGGATTGGTGGAAAGAGAGACAGAGGGGTTTGTGTTCGTCTTGGTAGGCAGCCTTATTGAAGTTCTCCCACCTTGATTATATACAGTGAGCGTGAATGGAGAACGCGTGGGCCAATGGGCTCTTTGTTGTTCAAGGACACATGAAGGTTACCGCATGGGATGGCGACAAAGGTTTGAATGTGGATTTCTGTATCATTAGGACGTCGAATCCATCCACCTATTGTTAAGTATCGACTGGCACTGGCTCGCTCCGTATCTGTTTCGTTTGCACACCTGCATTTCTTATAATGTAGGAGGTTCGTCTTCCAAAAGCACTAAACAAGACAATTATCTGTGTTGAATCAGAGCGTGGTCTGAATGCAACGTCTTCACTCCTGCGATGAGTAACAGTTACATGACATTCTCAGTCCAATAGTGACAAATCTACGAATGTTCTGTGACTGACTTGAAGTACAGAACAATTGGTGAGTAATTTCTCTACGAAAATGATTGTCTTTGTTTGGTAATGAATCATGCTAAAACTATTTGTAAAGCTCCCACTACCCCAAAAACCAAAAAAAAAAAGAAAAAAAGAGAAAAAGTTCCCACTCTAGCGCAGGACACGTTTTTAAGTTGTGTGTCGCTCTAAAAATAGCTACCAAAATATGAGGGTTATTGAGGTTTTTTTTTTTTTTTTCATTGTTTGTGTCTGTCTGACAAGGATCTGAGAGTCTGAGTTGGGGTGGGTGGGGGGGAAAGTGGGGTGGGCATGGACTTGACAGGAGAGTGAGGCACGTCGAGAGTCGGAGAATGAGAACATGGTGAGTGTGTGTGGTGGTGGTGGATGAGAGGGGGGGGTAGACAGAGAGGGAAAGGGGACGAGCCTTTCAGCTCCTCTAGAGGGTTGGAATTCCTCCCGAGCTGTTCCCCCCATTTGGCAGGCACTTGTGAAAACAATTCCCCAGCTTTTAGTCACTCTGCAGATCCAATTGCCATTTCCACTTTGGAGGGAATGAGAGTGCGAGGCAATCCAGATAGACAGAACACAGAGAGAGAAAGAGAGAAGAGTTTTAATCGGGTTGGACAGATGCCGAGGCCAGTTGAACGGTTGTGCGATATTAATATCTTATGAAGGCTGTCTGGCAGCGCGAGCTCACCGTCTTGTGTGGTTTTTGTGTTTGTACGTTGCAGCGGCGGCCATTGCAGTGGCTAAATGAAGAACTTGTGAACATGCACGAGGGAAGGACTCTACCTTTCACTTCGGTGACTTCCCCAGATGCTTTGGCCCAAAGAAAGATGGAAAGGAATGGGAAGAGTAAGACACTTAACTCATACCTCGTCCCCCAACATTCGCTTTGCTTCTCAGTGTATGAGTAAAACTGTTAATGATAAAAGTTTTCTTCCATGTCCATAGCTCACAATGCAGACCATCTTTATGTTGCAGTGTTAAAGACTAAGTGATGAACATGCCAAAATGTTTAGTTTTCCATTAAACAAAGCTTCACTGTATGTGGAAAATAATGTGCAAGTTAACATCTGTGTGTCTCTGCCAAGTGTGCTTTCTGCTCCAGCTAAACGAGATGAATAGACATAGTAAACAAACCTCCTGCTTTTCTAGGCTTGAGCCAAGACTGCTGCACAGAACCCATTCAGTGAGCCAACAGGAGATCCTCCATACGCCACGTCGCTGAGCCTCGCACCTTTCCCCTTTCGACCCCTTTACCAACGAGCACTATGACCTCCGAGCTGGAGAGCAGCCTCACTTCGATGGACTGGCTTCCCCAGCTCAGCATGAGGGCAGCCATCCAGAAGGCGGACGCGGGCCACCACCACGGCCACCACCACCACGGACACCACCACCACCACCACCACCACCACGCGCACCACCACGGGCACGGGCCCGGCAAGAAGATTGTGCATTTGGACCCGGGGACGACGCTGGACCAGGAGGAAGCCGCGCAGCACAGAGATGGTAAACCTCCGTACAGCTACGCCAGCCTCATCACCTTCGCCATCAACGGCTCGCCGCGCAAACGGATGACGCTCAGCGAGATCTACCAGTGGATCTGTGACAACTTCCCCTACTACAGAGAGGCGGGCAGCGGCTGGAAGGTAAGACGAAACAGAAAGGATAGGACTGTGTGATTTGGGTTTTGGATTCCAGGAACACACCTGTGTCGCACTTTTTTTTATAGTATTCAGCTTGCAAGCTCCTTTTTTTTTTTTTTTAAGCAAATCCTATCACCTTGAGTGAATAGACTGACCAGAATTGGGTTCCAAATGGTATTAGTCTGATCAGGTGTGGTCGAGTTTTGTTATTACGTCCACAGGTTTCAGCTCTGTGTTTCACTATATCCAATATTCTACTGGATCTGAATGTGCTCCAGCTCTGATATGGTTTATCAAAATTGCTACCAGAGAGAATATTTCAGGAAGCCAGTAGTCTGTGTTAAAAAGTGATTCAGTTAAATAAGTTACTTTTTGGAATTTGATTCCCAGATATTACATTAGTTAGAAAAACGTGTCTATTTATAATTCAGTTGGCCGCAGAATATGGTATCGATTGTGCCGGTTGGGAAACTAACACATTCAGTTATTCCTATAAATTAGTTTTTGATTATTTTAAATGACTGTATTTTGGATCTGTTTTGGATCGACTCCAACGTGCCACTTGCTATACTCGTGCTTATATCACATCAATTAAATCTGGAAGTTTCCGGTTCAGTTGTTTATAACATAACATTTCAAAGTTAAATTAAGAGTTGATGAAGGATTTGAAAGAAACTGGATTCAACGTTTGATGCTGGAAACAAGTTTGGTTACGTAGCTTTTATCTCTAGTGCTGGCCTACTTGTCAACTTACATGTTCATAAATGATAATTTTTCCCTCCATGTTTATATTGCTTACATATGTATACATAAAATCATATGGATTACTAAATGAAAAAATCAACACGTGTGGTAAACATTTGCTCAGGTGGCCAACTACAGCCACCGGCAGATTGTGTCAAGCTGTGAAGTTGCAAAGCTCCGGCTCAGACCACATTTGTTGGGGCGTCAGACTTAGGATGTGCAAATATCTGTGGCTGATTCTCTCTCTGATGTACATTTCCTCAGGTGCAGTTTTGATTTAAAACGTTTCTTTGCATCAAACACACCGGACGCTGCCACCTTGATGTCTCACACGCAGGTTCTGCAGGGTTTTTTTTTTGTTGCTAGTATTATGATGATATGAACATTGCTTTTGTTCGATTTTTTTAAAAATTAAAGTGTTAATATCGAATGCATTTACTGCCATTTGTAGATGGAGCAGGTTTTCTGTGGCTTTTGCGGATATTTCTGCTGGATGATACAGGCTGACATCCGATGGGGTTGACATGCATGTGCAGAGAATACACAAACCCGATCCAGTGGTTTGCCTCGAAGTGCACAGAAACCTTTTAGTGAACCGAGGATGATTGACAGATGCATTTCGTCTCATTCAGATGACATTATTAAATCCTTATGCAAATGCAGCTATGCAAATCCTGGCTAATATGAGCAGAAAGGTGGCTGTGTTGTTGGAGACAAATGAATAGATCCCTGCGGTTGTGTCTTGGGGATTCTCTGCCTTATTAGTGAAGAAGGGGATGGATATAGTCCTTCCACTGACACACTGAAAAGGCTGTCTGCAAACTATCAACCAATTCATCTCACTGAGAGCGGCAACATTTTTCTTCTTCTCTCATTATTTCTCTCTCTTTCACTTTCCATCTTCATCTCCCAAACACTTGCACTCCACCAAACGCCCTCCTCTCTCCTTCACTTTCTTAGTCACTCACTCCTCTCCTCTCTTCTTCTTTTCCCTTTCACGAACCTGCGTTTGTTCCCCGTCTATAATCTTCAGCGCGCCGTTCCCTGAACGGAGATGCATGCCAGAAACGGAGACAAAAAGGTTATGATACGAGCCAGGTTGTTTTGGCAGAGCTTCTTACCTGCATGTAGGATTCAATCAATTAGTTTTTCTGTTCGGAGAGAGAGGATAAGGGTTACTGAGACCATTCAGGCTTTCTCTCACTGCAGCTCATGACTGCATTCTCCTGCTGGTTGTATTTGAGTGCCAGGTTGTTTTAGTATCCCATAATTATGCCGCTAGATTCATTGATTTGTGTGTGTGGCTGCATTCTAGGAGGATCATTAAGGCACTATGCTGATGGCATTGTGGTTTTCTTTTCACACGTTCTGGCATTTGTCCACGATACCGGCGCGGGGAGTTTGTTGCGAGATACAAAACCCGGCGTTGTGTTGCTTTTCACTCGGGCCAGGGCCATAGAAAGAAGACACAAAATCTTTCATTTGTCAGTGTAGCCTGTATTTGATGAACACTCGGAAAACAACATTCTTAAGATGCTCAAACAATAAGCTCATTCAGTTTATCTTTTCTTCCTCTGAGTTTGTTGCTAACAAGGGTTACACAGTGTGGCCCAGATGTGTAGAAAGGAAACATTTTCGCCCTCGGTGACCCGCGCATGAACTGATATTGTAGAAGCATGCAAAGCAACAACTTAAGGTAGATCTCGAGACACATTTCTTTGTTTCTCCTGGAGAAAAAAAGCTGTAAACTTTTGCTTCCTGGATGACCCAACTTAGCACAGTGGGGCTTGTTGTATACCAGCCGTGGCCGTCAAAGGGAAAGTTACATAAGTCCGGTTCATTCCAGTTCAGGTGATTGCTGTCAGCTGTACACAGTGGGATGCAGACACACGGATTGTCTTCCTGCCATGTTCAAGGCAGACATTGTCGACTGGCGCAAACACACGTTGCAGCGGCGCGCGCACGCTCCGAGACGCGCGTTTTTCTGAACGCACCGAAACACTTAGCTTTCAGAAAACACCTCGTACGTTGTCTGTCGTGTTCGCCGTCTCCTTCACCCTCCGCCACACATGCATGCACACACACACACACACACACACACACACACGGCGGCTCGTACACCCACAGAGAGACTCCCACTCAGGTAGGCAGCGTACGTGTGCAGTCTGCAGATTACACACGGGGAGCTCAGCAGGAGATGAGATGGGAGGGTTTTTTTTTTTTTTTTTGGGTAGAGGGGGGGCTGTCAGAGAGCAGAGGAGAGTTTTACTACCCAGCACACGCACTCCGTCTGCTCTGTATGATAATGTGAGAGTGCGGGAACGGCAGAGTTGAAACCAGGACAACACACAGTCATGCACACACACACACACACACATGCATGTTCACCAACTTACACCGGTTGACCACCTCAGGATTCGTGCACGTCTTGCATCCGCGCACGCTTTCAGATGCATTGAAAGCCCGTCTAGTTAGCTGCTGTAATCATGCAACTTTCCAAGGTCATGATGAGATTTTTTTTTGTGTGTGTCTTCGCTGGGAAAAAAAAAATGAATATGGAGAGCTCTTTTCATCTGAGAAGTAATGATGAGAAGCTTCCTCCTGAGCTGTGGAGGAGGTTTAGAATCTGTAACAAAAAAAAAAAAAAAAAATGGTGAAATTAAATAGCACATGCATGCATAAGCGATTTGTTTATGGAGCTTGCTGGAGATTCTAAATTCAGCTTGTGTAACATGCATGCATAGCATTTATTTTTTACTGGAGTGGCGGATACAACTGGAGTGGAATGCAAACAGCGTTGCATCAGGCTGCGTCATTTTCCGGTATTATTTTGTATCGCTGGAACGGCATTATCTGCCCTACGTTATCTCGACCAGCCTCTCCCTCTCTCGGCCTGTGTCCTACGCTGCGAATCGCTCTACTTTCCCATGCCCTCTGCAGCCCCCTCACATCCCTTTCACACCCACATGTCCCTCCGCTTTTGAGTCCGACTTGACCGCAACTCATAATGCACGCAGCAGGAAGCCGAAGCCACACAGGGCTTCCTTTTTCTTTACTCCCTGTCTTTGTTTTATATTAAAGAAAGTGAGTCATCTGTAATGAAATACGGTGTCTATTTTTTATTCTATGTGCAGTTTTTTTTTTTCCACCGAATGGTTTTGCAGTAGAGATAGGCAGGACATGCGAGGAAACAAAGCAGGGTAATGACAAGCTGCAACTAGGGGCAATAGGGTACTAGGCTGCTGAGGGCATCTACGCCCGAGCGGTGCACTCTGTAACCGCCTGGCCGCCGGGTCGCCCCGCGCAGTCACGATTTTAAACTCTAAAAACTGACCTTCAACACGTGCCCTTCGGTACTTGCTGTTCAGTGTTTTATGTTTTTGCCTTAATTAGCTTTCACTTTATGCCTTTTGAGTATTTTTTTTTTATAGAGCACTATCTTTATTTGTTTTGCTACAGGTTGTTTTTCTGCTGATTTTATGTCTTGGTGAAATGATGTTTTCTACTAATAAAGATATTCAATGCAGTTTAATTTGATTAAAGGAGCAGCGTGAAGGATTTAGACTCAACTAGCAGTGAGGTCGCAGATTGAATACCATCCTCTTGCACCTACGTTTCCAAGCATGGAGGAGAAACTACGATGGCTGCCATCTCAACGTAAAAACAGGAAAGGTTCTCTCTAGAGAAGAAAACATGGAAGCACAAGCCGGTGGTCTCTGAGGAAGAGGACCTGCTCTCTAGGCGTTTAGATGGGATCTCTAATGTGGTTTCAAGGCCACCATGTGTGCAAATGCATGTACACATCAGCATTAGTGACAGGCAAAATATTTCTACATGCAAAGGCGTGCCTTTAAATCAGACACAATTTATAGGCGTTAAATCATCATTTTAAAGACTGCACATAAACTGTAACAAGGGCTGATCTGCTCTGAAGGTGGCAGCTGATGACAATAAAACCTTCCTATAAATGCACGCTCCTGTGTATCAGCGATAACAATGGTGGTGTTAAGATGCCGCTAAAGGAGAAGAGAACATCAATATGGATGAATTAATATCTATGAGCTAGTCTTTTTTTTTTTTTTTTTAAATACTTGCATTGTGCACCTACATTACTGATGCAACAGCTAGGCAATGATCAAACTAGCATTAACTAGCCGTGGTATGACTTGCTCTGATATTCTGTTCCATGTTGGCCAGCTTGATGGTTTAACTCGACGTCTGTCTTAACTTAGCGGTACACTAGCTTATCTGAGGAAGGT